CTTCGCATGTGAAGAGATCGAGAGACAAGAGGACGACGAGAAAGACATTGTCGCCAAGGGATATGACCGGGAAAAGGAATCACTTTTGTCGTAAATAAGGAAATGCTGACTATGGTCATCCGCCTGTGGATGACTCGGAAAGCGAGAATCTATAGCTCCCCAAGCAGCATGCTTGCAGAAAGAGCGAAGGCGTGAAATGTTCGTAATGCATGCCTCTTCGAAAAAGGCGAGAGTCCTGCCGTCTATGCTCGAGCTCGACGGATGGCCGTCGATGGGTATCGTATGCGAGAAGAGCTCGAAAATAGGCAGAGCCGCAGAAAAACAGTCGCTGTCTATATGCTGATTGGGGTATAAGATTCCAGATTTCCGCATCGATCCGTGATAACCGGAAAAGATTTGCAGAAACAAAAACCAAAACTGAAGGAAATGAAAGGAAGCCGTCCGTAATAGCAACACGAAGACCTAGGATCTCGTGGAAAAGAACCATGCCCCAGGCTGGCTATATCGTGAAGCGGTGGTATGTGCATTTACCACCAAGAGTTGCCGCCGGGGCCAGATGGGTTGCCGTAGCCACCACCACCGTAACCACCGCCGCCACCATAGGCAGGGGCAGGGGCAGCATAACCGCCACCGGGGGCGCCGCCGTAACCACCTCCTCCGTAGCCTTGAGAGCCGCCCCAGCTGCCGCCGTTACCGCCGCCGAAGCCACCACCACCACCACCACCACCGCCCATACGACGAACGTCACGGGTAGCAGCATTGCCACGGCCACGACCGCCTCCACGTCCACCGCGACCGCCACCGAAGCCAGAGCCCTCGCGAGCAATGGACTCGAGGAAGCTAGGAACCTCTTGGTTAGCCTCCTTCAGCAGCTCGATGAGATCACGGACGACACCGCGGTTACCACGGTTGAAGAATGCAGTCGCGATACCAGTATTTCCAGCACGTCCGGTACGACCGATACGGTGGACGTAGTCGTCAATGTCGGTGGGCAGGTCGTAGTTGACGACGTGCTTGACGTTGGGGATATCCAATCCACGAGCAGCAACAGCAGTCGCGACAAGAAGAGGGCAACGTCCAGATCGGAACATTTCAAGGGCCTTTTCACGCTCACGCTGTGTGCGGTCACCGTGAATAGATGTGGCAGGGAAACCTTGGTTGATGAGGAAGTCGGACAGTGAGTCGGCCATGCGCTTGGTCTCGACGAAGATCAAGCTGAGACCAACACCGTGGGTGTGAAGAATGTCCAGGAGAACGGAGCGCTTGTCAGCGTCCTCGACATACTCGATCTTCTGGGTAATGTTCTCAGAAGTGGAACCAACACGACCGACTGAAAGGAAGATGTAGTCCTTCAGGAAGTCACGGGCGAGCATCTGGATATCGCGAGGGAAGGTGGCCGAAAACATGAGGGTCTGGCGGCCAGCGGTGGGAGGCATGTCCTCACCCTCAACGATGCGGCGAATCTGAGGCTCGAAACCCATGTCCAACATGCGGTCAGCCTCATCGAGAACAAGGTACTTGATGCTAGCAAGTGAGATGCGGCCGCGCTCGATCAAGTCGACCAGACGACCGGGGGTGGCAACGAGCAGATCACAGCCACGCTCGATCTGGCGGAGCTGGGAACCAATGTCGGCACCTCCGTACACGACACAGGGACGAACCCAAGAACGGTAGGCAAACTTGCGAGCCTCGTCGAAGATCTGGGAGACCAGCTCACGAGTGGGGGCGAGGACAAGGGATGTGGGGTAAGCCTTGCGTTGACGGCCATAACCGCCCTGTGCTGAAGCTGGAGGAGCAGCGGGTCCGTTTTGGAAAGCCTGAGCGAGAATGGGAAAGAGGAAACCACCAGTCTTTCCAGAACCAGTCTGGGCACAAGCCATGAGATCACGACCGCCCATGACAATGGGGATGGAGTACTTTTGTACTGGTGTGGGAACCTTGTATCCGGAGAGCTCGATGTTGCTCAGCAGGTGGTCATCGAGAGGAGGGTTTGTGAAGCGTGTGACAGGCTCGGGAACTCCCTGACCGGAAGCCTCAACGGGAATGTCGTCGTACTTCTCGAAGTTGATACCAGTGTGCTGCTTCGATGGGTCGTTGGGGACACCGAAGAGGTCACGCTCGAGACGCGGGTTGGGCGGGCCGGGAACGTGCTTGCCATCTTTCCAGGCGCCATCACCAGATCCACGAGCGTTGCCACCACCGCCACCAGACTTTCCATAGCCATTAGATTCGAAGCCGCCGCGCTGACCGCCGCCTCCCCATCCACCACCAGGGGGACCGCGAGGAGTGAAATTAGGGGCGTTGGCCCAGCCGCTACCGCCGCCGTTGTTGCCGTTCATAGGAGGACCTTGGCTGCGATCTGTTAGTCGACGTTCACTTGAGGTGTGTGAACTTTGTACTGACCCTCCTGGTCCCCAGGCACTGCCACCGAGACCACCGTTGCCACCGCCGTTCATCATGGGCGGGCCATCCATAGGTGCAGGGCCTCCAGGGCCTCCCTGAGGGCGGCCACGAAGGTGAGGGGGGATGTATGCAGAACGCTCGCCGCTGAAGCCGTTCTGGGGGTTGTGCTGGGAGTCGCTGATGTTGAGACGACCCATGTCGAGTTGTTCAGCCATGATTGCGTTGAGATCGGGGATGACTGATGACGTGCGTTTTCGTGTTTACGTGGTGTAGTTCGATAAAGTCGAAAATTACTGTGTAGCAGACTTCGGCTGGCTCGACGGTGAGCGACAGACGAAAAGTAGCAGTTCTAAGTAACGAAGTTGGTAACTCGCAGGCAGGTGCCTGATCTTCGTTCTGTCAGGAAAGAAGGGAACGCCTCTGTCCTGAAAAAAACGACAAGTAAAGAAGCGTGAAGGCCAAAAGAAAGGACTTCACACAGAAAATGTGATGGTGAGGTTGTGTAATACACACAGGAGGTTTTGAGAGTGGGTGGTGAGAGAGGAGGGAGATGGCAGCTAAGTTAAAAAAGCGTCAGAGAGAACCCTTTCGAACTAGACTTGTTCGGGACTAGTTCGTGGGCGTCCCAAGATTCCTCAGCTCTGTGGCGAGTGCGGAGCGGTGAACGTCACAGCTGCTGTCGTACCCTGCACTATGCTTGCTTTTCCATGCACAGACGTATACGTAGTGACATTTATTTGATGGTCAAAGATAACGGCGGATTTGCCCGGTGGTGTGCTTGTTCAGTGCTTGATATTGCATGGCTGTGACAAAATCGCCTCTTGAAAATGCAGGCTCGCTTGCTTTTGCCACCCGCTGCGGCTCTCACCACACGTGAAGATGCCTCATGCTTCTCGAAGAACCTCGCATTGACATCACCTCAGGAACTGAGCATAGCCGGGAGTTTGTATGCTGTGCTTTGCAGGAAATATCAGATTGCATCCGTACACATCAAGCCCATTTTCAGCAGATGAAACTTGAACAGTTTAACTATGATAGGGGGATCAGACCACTAGACACATTTTGTAGCAGCACGCGAGAGACCATGGCACTGGAGATCATTGTTAGGCACATGCGCACTCAAGGAAGCATATCGCAGCATAGCATATACCACTCAAAAAAAAAAGCACAGCCGAGTAACTAGGAAAATAATTCATATATCATAGTGATCTATGCCATGCTTTTCTCTTTAAGTCCACCCTTTCTTGACCTCAGGAACAGAGCGCAAGCCACGACGATAGCCACAATAAAGAAGAGCTTCTGACCCAGGGACAGGCCATCTGTGGAAGAGCCAGAAGAGGCCAGCCCCTCGAGTTTAGGCTTGTCAGCAGAAGCCTTCGGGGGCTTTGCAATGCTAGCGACATCATCGCCAACTTTTGACGATGTGACATCGAGACTGTCGCTAGGATCGGCGGGTTCTGCATCGCCGTATATAACTTGAAAAGGGACGCACAATCAGCAACTGTCTAACCTAAGGGAGTTGACACAATAGCAAGAAATGCGTACTGATGTCTAGAGTTCCTCGTGAATACCTTCCGCTGGTACCTCGAGCTCGCCGCTCTTGGCAATCTTGACAGGCTCGATAGGCTTGTCTCCCGGAGCCTTTTTGACATTCTCGATCTTCTCCACAATGTCGTAACCCTCAAGGACTTGTCCAAAGACGACGTGGCGGCCATCGAGCCAGCTGGTGATGGCGGTGGTAATGAAGAACTGACTTCCGTTTGTGTCCTTGCCCGCGTTCGCCATGCTGAGGAGACCCTTGCGGGTGTGCTTGAGCTTGAAGTTTTCGTCGGGGAACTTTTCGCCGTAAATGGACTTGCCGCCGGTGCCTAGGCTGTGTTAGATTGGTTTACTTGCTGCTCGGACATGGAGAGCACTTGCCATCGCCCTTGGTGAAGTCACCTATATTGCTGTCAGTATGCAAGAATCTCTTGAGGAGTACATGCGGGTATGCACTTACCACCCTGAATCATGAAGTCCTTGATAACGCGGTGGAAAGTAGAGCCCTCATAACCGAAGCCCTTCTCACCAGTAGCTAGAGCGCTACCATGTGGGTTAGCTTGTGAAGCTGCACAGCGTGTTGTGAGACATCGTACCGAAAGTTCTCGGTGGTCTTGGGTACGGTCTTGCCGTAAAGGCCCATGACGATGCGGCCTGCCTTCTCATCGCCAATCTCAATGTCAAAGAAAACCTGGTCCATGTGTCAACACAGCTTCTACCAGCGTCTGTTGCAGATACACACCTTGTGGGTGATCTTGGGGCTTTTGGCAGCCTCAGTAGTCTGGGCGAAGAAGACAAAAGTGATCGAGAGGATCAGCAAGAGCGAAATGACAGCTTTCTGAAAGGAAGCCATGGTGCCTGATGAAGAACTCGAAGGCAATCGAGGAATTGGCAAGGGTTATATAGTCTAGGAAACCCCCTGCTGAAATACAGAGAGCGAGGCGGTATTGAAACGTGGTGTTTTAGTGCTGCCCGCACTGTCGCACCTTAGCTGTGCCAAGCTCTATGGTGTCTGAATTGGGACTAGTGCAATTGGAGAGTTCGAGATTGGTGCGGGCATGTTGCGAGACACTTCACAACACAAATCAGTTGTCGGAAGGAGCAACGTCATGGTGGGTTTGGAACAATTGCTGAATCGGATGATGCGCAACTACTGACATGTTTAGGTGTTCATTAACGGCTTCAGCTTCACGGAGGCGACCCTCGTGAAACGCTCTCTTCAGTCGTTCTATGGCATTGGGCCTTCGGTCTCGCAGCGCATCATGGCAAAATTCCATATTCACCCGTGGGCGAAAGTAGGGAGCCTGAAGAACGCCACAGTCATGGATCTCACGGCGGAGCTGGCCAACATGAAGATTGAGAACGATTTGCGGCGGCAGGTTCAGGACGACATACGGAGATTAAGAGACATGGGTACATATCGGGGAAGGAGACATGCAATGGGTCTGCCAGTGCGGGGTCAAAAGACAAGAACACAGGTATGTGTGGTCTGGGAGATGTTGAAGGACAGGGTTGGGTGGTGGAGGAAGGTGCTAACGCCGACAGATTGCGACTGCACGACGGTTGAACAAGATCGAACGAGGTGGCACTGGAAGGGTGTCTATGTGAGGTGGAAGCAAATCTACACGTGTATTATATTGTACAGTCTGACAGCACGAAACGGGTTTTACAGACTGCATAGAAGGAACATCATGACCAAACCGCCGCGACCAAAACACTCATGGATGCCCTTGACATACGCCCGCCAGACGTCCGCCCTCGGATGTCATGTAGTGCCTGTGATGACCTCGTGCAAAGATACGGGTAATCGCGATCTGCGTGTCGATTGCACCCAACTCTCGCACACTTGAAAGGATGCGAAGGTCTCACTTTGGGTATCAAGACCATCTCAATCGACTCCCAGATGATACTTGTACACAGCAACGCGACAATATCCGTTACATTGATACTAGACATTTGCAGAGCACAGTGGATGTACATCACTAGAGAAATTGCGCTTGGACCACGGACATGGTTTTCTGGTTCAGAAAGGCAGCTTGGTCGTCTGTTGAGGCAACATGTGTGGCGCGCGTTAATCTCACAGTCCCGATAAGGCATTATTGACAGGTCTCTTGGCACTGACAGTCGGGTGCAGGCATGCAGTATAGCGATATTGTCAGCTCGAAGGTATGCATAACCTTCCACTCTGAGACGCGAACCATGGATCTCGGCGCTGCTATAGACAGGAAACGGTCATCGGACCCAGGGAATGGAAGTAAGTTTGGGCATTTTGAGGACTGTGTCACAAACCCAGAGTCCGTGCAAGCTGGGATGACGATGATGATCCTGAGGACATGAATGTTGCCATGCGCAGGTGAGGTGGTGCTGACATTGTGGATGAGATATATTTAGACGTGGAGGAAGAGGGATTTGTGTTGTTCTGCCTCAGGTTGCGACATGGATTTGTCGGTGGGCATGGCGTTTCGGCAGACTTGGTGGTGGTGGTGGTGGTAGTAGTAGTAGTTGGTAGTGATGGTGGTTGTTGGCGGAGCGGATATCAGACGGAAGAAGCGGCGTCGTGTCATGGGTGAAGGTCTACTACCATGGGTGCAGCGCGTTGTTTCTTGTCGCACTCTTCTTCACGCACCCCGGGGTGGTACAGGCTCGGTGTTAAGACAGCAGCGAGAAGGAAAACCCGATGGGCTCGGCCTGTCTCAGGCTTGGTTGCATGCACCCCCTGATATAGAGGACGAAAGGGAAAAAGAAAGGAATGCAGGAGGCTACGAAGGAAGCATGTGCATAGTCTGCGGTGCAGTGGATGCAGAGCAGGCCAGGCCGGCCGCAAGGGGACTAGCGGTAGCGCTATGGGCGGCTCCCTGCAGCATGCTTCGCTTGAGCACGGCGGGGTTTCAGAAGCAGAGCAGCTTGGAACAAAGTCGTACGATTGCTTTTGCTTCCAAGCAACATGTGTTCCAGCAGCCACAAGCACCGCGCCCGTGAGCACGCTCGCTGACTGTATCCCGCTGTTATGTAACGTGCCCGTACGGCTGCCGTGTTGCAGAGCGGCGACAGCGGACGATACGCCTAGGCTGCTTGCTGTCTAGTAGAGCACTCATACACATACATGCTACTACTAGGACTAAGTACTATGGGCGGCAGAGTCAGGGACACACGGCAAGCATCGTGATTACGCCACCCCAGGGCGATGCATACCACGCACATCCACGACTGATCGACGCCCATGCGGGGCTCCATCTCATTTCGGCACACACACGAAAAGCTTCTTTGCAGTTTGCTGCCGTCGAACTCAATCCGTGCGTCCAACGCATTCTGGCTGCACGCTTGCACTCAGCCTGGGCCGGGGCTGAGCCTGGGCTGAGCCTGCTCGCTCCCTCGTGCTGTAAGTAAGTATGGGTGGGTGCCAATGCCAGTGCCAGTGCCAGTGTGAGCGTGAGCGTCGTGGTGCGTGAGCAGGCAAGGTGCCAATTCCATTTCTCAGCACACCCTCCCACGCCCGTCATCCACACAGCCTCGTCCAATGGCAGCCGTCCGCCAAAAGGCCCCCGACTCGCCAGCAAATTGACTGCCCGCACCAACGACAGCAGACACAAGACAGCAGACCACGCGCACACTCGTCTGTCTGCTTGCGCCCGTCAGTGGCTGAAGGCCTCGTTGATAACGGCCAGGAAGCCACGGCCCCGCCGCCAATCACCGCCGCCCATGGCTCTCTCAGCCGCCTACACGGCGAGCACGCCGACCAGGATGCCCACCGGCCCAAGCACTTCTCAAACTTGAGCGGACGCAGCCTCGAGGGCCCTCGGCCTGCTGGTGGAGGCGATCGTGGAGACCAAGCGCCTCTCGCTTCTGCAGGAACCGTGCTAGCTCTCCAAGAAGAGGCGTCCATGTCGGCCGCTCTGTCCAAGGCGCCTATGCTCTGGCGCCGAATGGGCGTTGACCTTGCGACGCTCCAAATCTCTTCTGCTGCTCTTCTACCCCCCAGCTGTTCCTTCTGACTGATATTCGTCTCATGCTGCGCTGGACGCCCAGCTGCTGACGACACTGCTGCGCGCGCCAGCTGTGCACTCACCAGACACCCAACGGCCCCCCGAAACACGACTAATCCCCACTAACAGGCTGTTATACCGTCCCCCATCCCAGTCGCTCGGCTAAGCTGGTTTGAGAAGTATGAGGACCAATGCAGACATGCTTCAGGAAAGATCCATGGCGCATCATCTCCCGGAGCACAAACCCTCAATTTACCATTCTGCGTCTTCACCGTCGCTCGCGAACAGCTTTCGCTCCCTTCGCGACGACTCGACGCCCTCCCACAACGTGCCCGCTGCGGCCACCCACCAACTCCACAACCCCCGTCGCAAGCCAGTCCCGAGCCCTCTGTCGCCCACGTCAACCAGCTCCACTACTACCCCAATTCCCTCGAGAGCACCCTACCAAAACTCGCCCTATTACGACTCTCTACGCTTCGACGAGCCGCGCAGCCCCCGCGAGAAGCTTGACGCTTTGTTGGCTGAGGAGGAGCAGCACCATTCCTCGCCCATTCGCCCAACCAAGCCAGCGCATCCGCCTACACCACCCAACGTCCCCACTACCCACATCACCCAGCCCACGAGGCCCTCTGCGTATGCAAAGCTACGGCAAGTCTCGTCTCCCACGCTGTCATCGGCTGGTATCTCCCCGCCAGCATCTCCCGTCATCATGTCTCCACAATCGCGGACAAATCGACCAGACACGGCAACGCCAACGGTACCTATCCGCAACCCCTCCATAGACTCGGCTGCATCTTCGCTTTCGTCGAGTGCTTCCCAGAACCGCCTTCCTGGCAACCATGCTCCCCGACCATCCCAAGACACAAGCACAGCCAATCCGCCAGACATGGCTGCCCTCATAGCGAGTGCAGGTTCGCCCGAGGCTGCCATGATGGCTTTGTGGAAGGAGAAGCAAAACACGTCCAATCACAATGCACAGCTCTGGCGTTTGGTTGAGAAGCAGCGTGCCATGATCATTGGGTTGCAGAAGGATTTGGAGCGAGCATTGAAGGACAAGGACCGCTACCGCCGAAAGTTCAAGGAGTACGTCGAGCAGGTGCCACCAGGCCCTGGTTCACTGCAAAAGTCAGATACCTTCAACTCTGTTGTAGACCGTGACCCCAGCGAGTCGCCCGTCACCAGTGAGCGACCCGACGAGTCTGCTAAATCTGGTGATGCCAAAACAGGAGAGTACAAGACCTCGCCATTGACACAAGAGCACCCAGCACCACACCTTATACCAGACTCACAACTGGCAACATCGCCTTCCCACTCTACCGCGTCGAATGCAACGTCGAGCGTGAACTCACCCACAGACTACTCGGTGCAGCCCCTCAACCTCGCCGCTAGAGGTCTTGGTCTTGACAGCGCCGTGCTCCAGCCTGTTGAAGTCACTCAACCGTCAGTACAGGTTCCGAACCCAACGACACCCCCACAAATCGCCTCAGATGCAACGCTTGCTCCAGGCGCCTCGAATCTACAACCTCCCGAGATATCCCTCATTCAAGCTACCCCCGTCGTTGGCGGTGACGGATTCGAGGCATCTCCACGAAAGCCTTCACAGCCTCTGCGCAAAGCACCCCCGGCTCCTCTCAATCTCTCCAAACCCGTAACAACCAGCGCGCATCTTCACCAGGCCGTGCATGGTGATGACGTCGATTCCGACTATGACGATACGTTGGAGGTGGATGAGATACCCGTGGTGGAACGGGGAAGGAGAAAGACTCGCGAGGAAGATGACAGGGTACGAGAAGCCATGTACCTCAAGGACGAAGAGGCTCGAAGCAAGTCGAAAAAGCAGAGCAGTGAGAGCAACAGCACACAGGTGACACCATCTGAAACGGCGGAGAACAATCAGCCTCAGACATTCCCTGTGCCTCTGTCTCCGCGTCAGATCAATGCTCTACAATCGGGCCTTCCGATCTCTCCCCGACACCCACCCGCGAATTCGCTGAATGCTCTGCTTAGCCCTACAAACTCTGACAGTTCTATGATGGCCAATCGAAGCGTTGCGTCGCCCCTCCTCAGCCCCGGCCTCCCGTCCAGCCCTCGCCCTACCGACCGACCTCTAGGATCACCGTTGCCGAGGAATCCCAAGTCGTCACTAGCATCGCCGCCAATGTCACCAAGCCTCCTGAACCATTCAGGATCGCGAACTGGCCAGCAACAAGTTCCCTTTCCACCAAACACGCCTCAGTCATACCAATCACCTCCAGTGAACCAGAACCAAAAGAATACGCAGTCAAGCAAAGAATCGCCAGGGGGACTCTTGGCCGTGCCAGGGGCACAGACTAGTTCAGACTCAGGTTCAGGCAGTCCTACTTTGAACGACATTCCCGATGCAGAGCATGTCTACCGTGGCCTTGTTTCGGACCAGTACCCAGGGCTTTTGCTCCCTCCTAACGCTCTCCCGTCTATCCAGGTCAAGGTGTTTTCATCTAGGCTCCGGCCATCGCGCTTGAGTTTCTTGGCCCCAAAACCTCAGGAGGAGGACCCAGTCTTTATTCTTGCAATCTACGCCCGCTCCGACAACAAACAATTATGGCGCGTAGAGAAGACTATTGCGACACTTCCCGCCCTGGACTCTCACCTAAGATCGCTATGTGACTTCCAAGGGAAACTCCCAGATCGTGCTCTTTTCGGAGGTCACGCCCCTGCGAAGATCGATGCTCGAAGAGTTGCTCTTAACCAGTACTTTGATTGTGTCCTGGAGGCACCCACAGACGAGAGGACAGCACGTGTTGTTTGCGAATACCTGTCTGCCGATGTAATTGGCGCACAAGCAGGTGACAGATTAGCCCCGGAGCCCACTCCTGGACCGGCTGTATCGGCTGTCAAGAACCAGCGCAAGGAAGGCTATCTTACGAAACGCGGCAAGAACTTTGGAGGCTGGAAGGCACGTTTCTTCGTGCTGGATGGTTCCGAATTCAGATACTTTGAGAGTGAAGGTGGCGCCCACCTAGGTACCATCAAGTTGCAAAACGCGCAGATTGGGAAACAATCACAACAACAATCCACACAGTCACCACAGCGAAAGGACGATTCCGAGGATAATCAGTATCGACATGCCTTCCTAATTTTGGAGCCAAAGCGGAAAGACTCTTCGAGCCTTGTTCGTCATGTACTGTGTGCCGAAAACGACGAGGAACGAGATGCTTGGGTTGAAGCACTTTTGCAACATGTTGAGATCCAAGAGGAAACCTCGCCAACTGAGGCTCGCCCTCCTCCCGCCTCGCGTTCTCAGAAGCAGCAAGCTAGCCAGGATTCGACACGCTCACAACGGAGAGAGAGCCCTGATGTAACGGAACAGGATCGTGTACAAGGTCTCAGCTATGAAGATACAGTGGCAGCACAAGCCCCAATCCGCGGGCCCAACCATCGAGAGGCACTGGGAGAGAGACCTTCGCGAGGGTCGCCCAAGGACACGAGCTTTCTACAAGATAGTTCCGGCCACTATCACTCCATTTCCGGCCCGAGCAATGGAACTCCCATTAAGGACGCTGAGAACTGGGGCGCTAGATTGACTCCAGCACCCACAGCCGCAAAGGATAAGAAACGCAGCATATTTGGGTTTAGAGGTCGTGGCGGCTCTTCGGATTTGGCACCTGTCCAGGTCAACGCCCCGCTCCTCCAGGCAGCTGTTGAGCATCGGGTACCTCAAAACCGCAGCATTTTTGGTGTCCCCCTCATGGAAGCAGTAGACTACACCCAACCCGAAGGTGTCAATGTTCCGTTACCAGCAGTTGTCTATCGATGCTTGGAATACCTCCGAGCCAAGAGGGCAATAAGTGAAGAAGGCATATTTAGGCTGAGCGGGTCGAACATTGTTATCAAAGGACTACGCGATCGTTTCAACACTGAAGGTGATATTAAGTTGCTGGATGGGCAATACTACGACGTCCATGCCGTAGCTTCGTTGCTGAAGTTGTACTTGCGAGAATTACCATCGTCCATCCTCACTCGGGAACTGCACTTGGACTTTCTCAAAGTTCTCGGTAAGTCGCTGATGGGTTTTTGTGAAGCATAAGACATACTAACGCGGACTAGATATGGATGAACGAAGCAAAAAGATTCAAAGCTTCAATGTACTCGTACACAAACTCCCCAGGCCTAATTTTGAGCTGCTAAGGCACTTGTCATCGTTCCTCATTGAGATCATCGACAATTCGGCAGTGAACAAGATGACGGTGCGCAACGTTGGCATTGTATTTGCGCCCACGCTCAACATCCCGGCACCGTTGATCTCGTTCTTCTTGACTGATTTCCCCGACATCTTCGGCACGGCTCTCGACGAAGCTAGTTCCCCGATCCATGAGATCCGAAACGACACGTCGCACTTGGGTGATGATGCGATTCGGTCTCCACGGCGGCAGATGTTTTCAGAGCTCCCAACGCCTAGCTACAATGACACGAGCTTTCAGCAGCGAATGGACCGGCCAGGTCAACACTACCAAGGCAACAGTGCTCCAAACTATCCACCTCCACAGCCCCCTCAACAAAATCAACAACAACAGCAAGTGCAACAGCAGATGCAACAGCAACTGCAGCAGCAACTGCAACACCAGCAGGGACAGGGACAAGGACAGTACAACGGATACGACTCTGGCTTTATTCCAATGAGGCCTACCTACGAAGTGCCAGCGTACGAGCAAGCATATCGATCTGGGGAGGGATACGGTAGCCTGAATGGAGCAGTGCAGTCTGGCAGTGCTCGGGAGCAACGACAGCGGAAGCGAGAAAGCGGGATGCTGCTCATGAACATGAACATGGGTATGGGCGCACCTCGCAAAGGTTCAACTGGGTCCAATCCACCTAATCGCGGAAACTACCAATACAACCCTCTAATGGTTCAAGAAGAGACGGCGTTTGACTGAGCAAGACTCCGGTCAAGTAGCGGGACGATGATAGATGATGATGAACTTAGGTTTTTGTCTAATATTCTACCTTCTGATTTGGTTTCTAATGCCGAAGAACGGGTTGGATTCTTTTGTGGTTTATTGCATAGGGTCAGAGGACCAGGGGGTACTAGTCCTCTGACCTGATGATTTATTGGCGTTTTCTTTTCTTCCACAGCGGTTAGACACATACCACTAGTCAGGAGGTGGAGGGTTTTGTGTCTTTATGTTTCTTTTTCTCAAGTTTCCTTGCTCTCGGCAGATGGAGCTGTCTTGTTGTGCAACAAGATGACTCGAGCTTGGGCGTTGGAGCCGGGCACATTGTTTTGGTTGGCTTTGGTTGAGATATCCTGGTTATTTTTGTTCTCTGCTCGGTCTTGTAGCGCGTGTAAATGGATTCAAGTTGATGGTTTTGGGTATGATAGCGTTTCCTATAGCGAACACATGGCAAAGGCTGTGTATATAACCGTATGACATTGTCTATTCTGGAATCGATGATTTCGATTGCCATTATTGTTCTTGTTGTCGTAACGTGATTAACGCCGAAAGGGTGTTCGTGATGCGATGGCGTACCATGGACGGAGCTGTGGGCCTTAGCGTCAGAGCTCGGGCTCACGATGCGACTGCCTCGTCGCCGCCATGGCTCTCCGTCTTCGCGATTGACATGCTGCTGTCGCTACTGAACCTCCGATATTTCCACATTTTTCTGCCTTACTTAGATATACCGACGGCGGCCATCTGAGGAGACGCAGCACGACTTCAGCGCGTCCCAGGGTCGACTCCATCCCCGTCCATCGCATCCCGCCGCGCATCCAACATAGGCTTGAGACAAGCAGACAGAGAGCGTCTTCCCTTGGTTCACGCTGTCGCGCCTTCGCCATGGCTGACACGCCTGCTACTCCTGCGCCGTCCGGGGCTGCTGCTTCTGCTACAGCCTCGACCCCAGTGACTGCACTACAGCCCCCTCGCATTGAAGAACCCGACTCTCGCAACAGCTTACGGCACATTTTGGCTGCCGATCCGCAAATGGACGATGCGAAGCCTTCACCCTCGCAGGGGAACACGCCTGCCCCGGAAGGGAGCGAGGCTGGTGGGGATGCGCCCGAAGCATCCAAGCCAGCTACCGACAACGATCCAGCGCGCCCCTACTATACGGCCACAACGACCACTACTCGTCGCAATGCAAACGGGAGTGTGTCGTCCGTCTACAGTGGCAACAAGATCAAGCATCTCAAGAAGGACGATGGGATACCGTTGTGGCGCAAAGACATTCAGTATGACTTCCTCAAGCTCGTCTTCGAGGACGACAAGCGCGTCTTCACCAAACAGTCAGACTCGACTAGCGGACATACCTTTGCCGACATCTATCTCGACGCCATGGCCAAGAGCAGCAAATGTAGCAAGATTCTGAAAGATAAGCTGCTGACAGAGCGCCCGGCTGCAATCAACATGGCCATGGTCTGTCTGTTGGTCAATGTCGGGCGCATGAACACAACGCTGAACTGTAGGAAACCAGAATACCCTCAATTCGCTCTTGTCTAACCTGCAACAGTCTTCCCCGAAATGCGCGCCCAGCTACGAACTTACCACTCCATCCCCTCACTTCAAGCCCACCAAGACCCCAACGCCTACAAGCAGCTGCAAGATGCGCCACGTCTAAAGTCTATCCTTAAGGGTGCTACCGAAGACCAAGAACAACCCAGCACCATTGAGGAAATTATGGCCGCTACCGTTCCACGTACAAATCCTGTAAATCTTATCTTCGTCCTCTCCCAGTATGCGCCGAAGATCTCAGAGCTACACTTTTTCCCGCCGCGCGACTTTTTTGACTTGGTCATGCGTTCAAACTTGAGCAGCAGGAGCAGGGCCACGGCCTTTTTGTGGCTCATGTGGTGGTACTTGGAAAGCGACTTCACCAAGGAGGCCGCCGAGGGCAATCCTTTTGGGCCTGGACAACCGGGACCGGCAGATGACCCAACTACGGCCGAATTTCCTATCAAATGCCCACCGTTCGAGATTTTGACCCCAGACCAAGAGGCTTTGGAGAATGTCGACACGCCTGACGAGCAGGCGTTTGGTGAGGTCAAGCGAAAGGAGAGAACGGCGATCCTAGCAAGTGACATGGCGCCTGTCGTGACGGGCCCCAAGCGCACTAACAAGAAAGGTGAGTGTCCATGATTCGCCTTGTTCAAGTTCGACAAGGTCTGACTTTTCTGTAGGATTCAACCAGAACCCAGTTTTCTCAATCGCTGCCGACGATGGGACTTCAACCCCTGGGAGAGACCGACAGTCACCGTCACATGGTAAGTTTTACAGCATATCAGGTAGGGGAGACCTCAATCTAACAACGATAGGCTCGGCACGAGGGCGTGGCAAGCTTGCGAAATCGCTCATCGAACGAGACTACCCCTCGGATACCGACCGTACTCGCTCGGCGTCTCCTCCGAACAGCGTCTACAACACGGCCAAGAAAATGGCAACACCAAATATGCGGATAAACACACTCCTCAACGAAGATGGGCCTGCGTCAGCCTCGCCTGCACCCAAGGGCCCTGGTCGGGGTAACTGGTCTCGCAACAGACAATCCGGTATAGGAGCCAGCGGCGGCCCAGCAGCCCGCAGCTTCAAAGCTAAACTCGACGCAAATAACTCGCAAGATGGCCAGTCGCCTTCAACTTCCGCCCCAACTTTCAACGGCCCTCACGGATTCTACCTCCCCCTGAACGGCTCCGACCCCTCGCACAAGCGCACAAGGCCACTAACCCAACACCAGCTCGCAGTGGAACAATATCGCCGCCGCCGCGTCGACGTCATCCTCGACCGCGGCATCCGTATCGAGTACAAAGCAGCCGCCAAACGGCGCCGCAAAGCCAACTCCTTCATCCGCAGCTGGATCCGCTGCAAAGGCATGGCAGACGGCTACGACACGGACGAAGAAACCTACGCCCAATACGGCTCCTCAACCGGCCTCCTGGACCCCGACTACCCTTCTTCCACCGCAGCCACGACCACCGGCGCAGGCGGCGGCACCAAAACCCCACCCCCCATGCCCTCGGGCCTCGTACCCCTCGACTTTGGCGGCGAAACAAACGACTTTGGCGAAGAATCTTATTTCCGTGCTAAAATGCTGAGTCGCGCTCTGCGTCGTCTGGAGCGCTGGGAAGAAGGCAAGACTGCGCCCCGCGCGCGTAAACCAAAGGGTGAGCTGGGGAATGGCGTGTCGACTGCGAGTGCGACTGGGAGGTTGGAGAGTGGGGATGAGGAAGATGAAGATGAGGCCGAAGCGGAGGATCTGATGGATGTGGATGAGGGCGAGGAGGCGAGCGAGGACGAGAGCGAGGATGAGACTATGATTGATGCTACTGTTGTGTCGAGGGTGGGCCGGGTTGCCTAAGGATGGGATAGGATGGATTGCTTGATTGATTCATTGTTATTTTCCTTGGCTTTCTTTTCTCTCTCTCTCTCTCTCTCTCTTTTCTTATTGTCTCTCATCTTTTTCGGAGAGGGGAAGGTGTTCTCAAGGTATGTGTATTATATAGGATTTCTTTTTTTTTCTCGTCCTCCTTATTCCTCTTTGTTTGAGACAGAGAGCATGGCGCTTGGGTTTATGGTAACAAAGTAGCTGGTGCTTAGTAACATCAGTTAACAGGGATTTATTTGGGGACAGATACAACTCTGTCGGGCTGTCGTAAGCACAAATAGTTTTTTTTTTGTAATACATGATATCATAAAGTTAAGGGTCGATAAAATTGAATTTTGCAAATATATGGGGGGGTTTTTTTTTTAAATTAACACATCTAGTAATGTAGAACTGAAATTTTATAGCTTTTTTTTATATTCTCATAGTTCTAAGGACTCGTTTTCTATTTATTTTTTTAAGAATACAATGTATTGTCGTTGGAGTCATAATCATTATCATCATAAAAACTCGCTAGTTACCCCCCCCTTTTTTTTTACAATCCAGTCAGTCCATCCAGCAGTGCTGTCAACCCACCAACTCCCAACAGCGCCCCCGCCGCTGCCTTCCTCCCAGTGTGACTCTTCTTTCCACCACTACCATACTTGGCACCGTCGCCATATCGATCCGTGTACCTGGACCGACTCCTCTCGCGCTCTCTCCTGCTGCGTCGTGGCCGGTCGAGTTCAGATTCCGACGTCGTCACGTCGTCGTCGTAGCGTCTATTTGATGCGGAAGATGGTGGGCCTGTTGGATATCCCGGGGTGAAGTTGTTCATGTAAGATGAGCGGAGAGGGGAGGCTTGCATCGGGAGGTTGTTATTGTAGGACGCATTTGAGGGGTGGAGGTGCGGCGGGTGTGGGGTGGTATTGTTGGGGTAAGGTAGTGGTATATTCTGTGCTGGCGATTGCGGATAATAAGGTGGAGCACTATTGTTTGTCGGCTGAGATGGGTAGCTGCTAGGTTGGGTTGGGTAATAAGGGTGTCGAGGGGACTGAGATGGTGGCGGGTGATGTTGGCCATAATGCTGGCTTGGAGGTATCGGGATTTGTAGATTTGGTGTGCGTGCGTTTACATGCGTTTGTGGTAGTGGAGGGACAAGACCTGGACCTGGCGTGGACATTGAGCGATCCAGAGGCGGCGGTCCTGCAGGTGGAGGTGGAAGTGTAGAGTTCAGGGAGCTGGTCGCACGATGAAAAGGCGGATGCGTGTTGCGAGCTACTGGTGTACGGTCTCGGTCAATCGGATTGCTCTTCTGTGCTATGGGTGATGGTGGTGCCTGCCGGTGAAAGGATGAAGTCCTTGCCTTGGGTTCGGCCGGTGGAGTTGGCGGTGCATTCTTTCGATATATCTCAACTGTCCGTTCTACGAGACGCTTGACTTGGTCAAACTGCAACGGCCGCTCGATGCAGAAACAAGTCTCAAACCTTGTTCTCCTGCTATTCCTTCTCTCTTTCTGTACTTGAGTGTATGGTAGCCGTGCTTCTTGAATAGCTTCTTTGCACACCCAGCTCGCCATTATTTCAGTCCAGCTATTCCGCTCCGAAAATGCAATAGACGGTGCTTGGTCAGTATTTGAACCGACTTGCCTAGCGTCAATGTATCTCCAATAGTACTTTCGGGTGCATAGCCTCCACGGTATCTCAAGATCCACATCGTCTTCTTCCTTGGCTTCCATAGCGGCGGCAGCGTCAACCGGGAGACTTGCTACACTAGCCCTTGATGACTCAGACGAGAGATTCGTATTGGAAGTTTGGGGTGTGTCAGCAGGAGTCGGCGGTACTTGAGAGTTAAAGTTTTTCTCAGACTCTGGACTGGGTATATTGTTTTCCATGAATAACGGCTGTGTATCTTTCGGTCCGTCTGATCGTCGTTTGCTATCACCCGAGGCCCTAGATCTTCGAACCCGCTCTTCTTCGCTATCTGATTCAACTGTAGCTTGTTGAGTCTGCTGTCTCTGCTTCCGTTGTTCAAGCTCCTCATCTTGAAGACGTCTCTCAAACTGAGGCAAACTGGTCCATCGTCCGAGCAGGTGTTCGCCATGTGATGCGGATGTGCTGCACACGAAAAGGAGTCTCTTAGATTCTGTATGTGCTGACGTCGCGAGGCCATGTAACCCCTGATTCTGGTATGAATAGAGGCGAGACGGCGTAGGTGGTTCATCCCGCTCGGCTTTGACCAAACTCTGTGAGCTGTCGTCTTCCATCAATAAGCGCGCATCTGGCTGTGACGCATTTTCGAAAATTTTATAGGCGGCAATAATTGACCATTGTTGTTGGATAATCAAGGTCTCGAGTTGCGTCTTTTCGTTGTCAACAACTTTAGCTGCTTGCTGTGGCGATACTGTAGGACGGAGTCTATTTCATTGTTAGCCAGTACCGCTCAAAAAATTCTGGAGTGTTCATCGCTGTTGTAGCAAGGAAGTAGCGTGTGGTGTTCGATTAAAGAGGTGATCAAGGTAATAAAATCGTCATGCGAGAAGAAACCGAATGACTTACTTTGACCACATAACACTCTGCGCAGTGTACAATGTCTGAAGTAATACTGACAAAGTAGTACTCAAAGCCTCGAGATGAGCCACCAGATAGGCCAGCGTTGTTGTCATAGACGTTTCTGGTAGCAGCCGACCATTTCCTGCATAACGAGCACTATCCCTTCGATTATGGTGCCGAAAGTCCTCTGTTGATATAGCCGATTCGAGGCTACCCATAACATTCTGTGACTGTTCTATTGTATCGTCCAATACATCAAATGCCTATATAAGGTTAGTTTAGAGAATAAAAACCATTTTTCTTGCCATGAAATCTGACTCCTAGAGGGTTGTCTCTGCCCCGTAGTATGATGGTGGATATCTATAGGACGAAGTTCTATCGACGACAGCTTTGTATGACGTTCGGACACCACATGGCCAGCTCCTCGGAACACATTAAACAGGGCTTAGACATACCTCTGGCGATGGTAGCCGATCATCCTCCTTAATGATTGTGCCGACTTGCTTGAGAATACTGGCGAATCCATTGATTCTGTTCGCAATCTCCACCAGCTCTTTTGCCGCGTCAGGTGATGCAGCAGCTGTCTTGAACAGGTCCAACGCAAGTGCCGAACTCCTCGAAACCACCGGTAAAATAGCTGCGAGTACTGCCATGTTCGCCAGAATGTCGAAGTGCAGTGTGTGTCGAGAAGTCAAAGGGAAAAAAGCGTGGCAATCGAGTGTTGAAGTGGAGCCATCGGCGGCGGGAGTAGCAGGCAAAGTGGTTTGACATGTATCAATGTGTCCCTAGCTAACCACTATTACTAGCTTGTGTGAGGTCATAGTGTAGGTTCAATGCAGGGCTCAACTGACCGACGACCAAATCCGGCGAAGATCATGGCCTGCTGATTGGTTGAAACCCCCTGGTGGAAGTATGCATATACGCGAACCGCTGAATTCACGCATCCATTTCCATAAGGCTCGGCAAAAAATCAGCAGGCGGAACATGCATGTCATGGATACGCAGAGGCTGTGCACTCTCGTCATGGTTTGCGACGAGTACCTTTCAGGTGTTGCTTTGGCCCGCTTCTGGAACCGTGGCACTCGACGAAGCCGGTGAAGCCGACAAAGTCAACTCCTGCAGTATGCATACATAGCTATGCATCCAAAATTAGGAGCACAGAATATTCGCGCACTGTGTCCTGAAGCATTACTGCGTGTCCTCATCAGAGGTCCCCAAGAGCGGCGCCAACAGTGTGGCGCAGGACGCCGGGTATGCGGACGAAAATTGGCCACATGATGACTATTTGAACCTCGAACTAAGGGCAAGTGTGCACACCAACACAGGGTGACAATGAGACTGTTGAATCTGCCTCGCGCTCCCTACATGTTGCATTCGTAAGGGTTGTGTTCCCGTAGGACCGGTCAAGGCCGCAGTCGTGGCTGTTGATAAGCTATAAGGCGGGTGTCTGCAGTCTTTTTACGCAGAAGGTCCGAACATGTGTGCGTCCCGTATTTCGTATCATGCGCCTTGTGTAGGATTGCCAATAAGAATAGGCGGCTAGGACGAGTGCATGGCTGCATGGAGCCGACGGTAGAGCGGATGACAGCCATGTTCATGGCAGGAGGATGCGCAGGATGAGTGTCGTACGCCAAGTAAACATTCCGAGTGCTTTGGCAAGCGACTGTCCAGCAAAGACACGATAAACGAATGGCTCACAAACAAATGGAAACTTTTTTTGAGGCGTCTTCCCGGCGTAACGCATCTAGACTACCCGATACTCTTATCCATATTTTGTGTGCGCAATTCCCAGCCTTGCGGTATTCTGTTTCAACGCATCTTATAGGTACACATATGTCTACATGGAGTATACAGAGGCTCAGTTATGAACCAAAGCCGCCAAAGTCCCATTGCTGCCTGCCCTGGCTACTTCCTGGCGATAGGGTTGTGTATTGCTGCACCATATTCCAGTCAATCCTGTCCCACCACGCCTCGAGAAACTGCCTCTTCCCCCGAACACCGTAGTCCTGCAGCCAGACATGCTCCCAGGTGTTAACGCACAGCAGTGGCACAACATCAACGCCACCCAACGCCTTCTTGGGCCCTTGGTTCTGCATAGTTGCCGCAGCCCCGAATGCCCCAACCTTGTTCAGCGCTTGGTACGAGTCTGGGTTGTGCGTGTTCAGATCGTGCGACTGTCGTCTGTGGTGGGCGCCTGACAGTGGTGATCCGGCGAGGTAGGTGGGGAGGATGCGCAGACTGCCAACGGCTAGGTCGTCCGTCTGCACCAGCCAGACGAAACCCGGCCCGAACATGGCCTCGGCGGTTGCAAGGAACGTCTCGCGCAACGTGTCCATGGACGAGAAGTCCTTGTTGATCTGCATCTCAAGGTCCTTTGTCGGCCGTGATTGCAACTCCGGGTTTGTGTTGAGGCCGCGGAAGAAGAAGTGGTTGTTGAAGGCCATGCTGGCGACATTGAAGGCATACGCTTTGGTCGGGTCGCGGGCGAATTCTATGACGAGCGCCTTTGGCTCTTGGTTCTCGTATCCTTGGCCTACATTTGTGATATCAGTCTCTGATGGCGCCTCGAATCGCAATGGCAGATGGCATACCGTCAGTCATGGTGTTCAACTCGTCAATCATGTGTTGCTGGTAGTCGGTATAGGCCGTCTTGAAGCCTTGCGGCGTGAGCAGCCGTGGAATGCCCTTTTTCTCAATTTCCACATGGTTGTCGAGCGCAGGAACGGTATATTTGTTGCGGGCGAGCGATGGTATTCTCTATTCAGTGTCAGTCCCCCTCCATGACCACCACCGTCACTGACAGCGCCAGGGCCAAACATACCCTCCAAGCCCCAGCCGCAGACTGAATGGCACCCGGCCGCCGGGCCAAACACCGTGCAATCATGATATGTGTGGATTAATCGGGCGAGCGATCGAATTGTCGGGCCCAAGTCGTTCATCCAAGCTCATCTTTTTCCCCGAGCCTGGCGGCCTTCGCGCTAGCCCCGCCCGGCCAATCACGACGCGCCCTCGCCACGACTGGCCAAAACTTCCAAACCGCAAGCGCCCGCATCCCGTTTCACCCACTCAACTGCTGGCGAACGCAGAGCCACACGACCCCAGGAGCCGCCTGCCATTGCCAACCATGCTAGTAAGGCTGTACAGCTGTCCTGCCAGCCATACATTGCATCCTGTCCACTCGGCGCCTCGACTGCTCTATTTGCAGAACATGGCTTGACCGCTCGACAGCGTCACATGCGGCTCTTGCATCGTTGGTTTTTTGCTGGTAAATATATTCAAGGTAAAGCGGGTCTGTCGTTTGTCTGTCCCATATGTTTCGCACATCGCTCTTTGCCGTCTGTTTCTCTACTTGTCGCTTTCACTGCCGCTTTGTTTCGTTTCGAGTCACGTTATCGAGCGTCGCCGGTCCGACCTCTTCACTATAATACCTTCGACTATATTCTTCCCATCACTTCTACAATGGCTCCAGTCACATCTTCTCCAAGGCTATCACGGATATCCGTCCTATTCCTCTTCATTTTCTTCATCACACCCACACAAGCATCCGCTCTCTTCGTACGCCAAGCAGGGACATGTGGAGGCAATGCAGAACTTCAGCAATGCGGAGGTGACTTTCCGTCTTCCTTTTGCTGCCCCAAGTCTTCTACTTGCATGAATCTTAACAGTGGCTCTGTCAAGTCTGTCATTTGCTGTCCAGCTGGCTCGGACTGCTCTTACATCCAACCCACCACCTGCGATGTCGCACAGCTCAATGCTACCTTACATCCAGAAAACCAGATGCACCTCTCCGAGACTGATGGTGTTGAGCTACCAAAGTGCGGTGATAAGTGCTGCTCTCTCGGATATACATGTCAAGGCAACATGTGTGCCAAAGACACCTCCCCTAAACCGTCTCCATCCAGCCCCTCTACCGCAACACCCTCACCCTCACCCTCATCCACCTCCCCTGCCTCTGCATCTCAAACCTCAGATTGCCCAACTTCTGCCCCAGTCGAAACAAAATCCTCGTTCGACGGGCGTTCCTTTGCCGCAGGCTTCTTCCCTGGCCTCGTCATCGGTGCCCTGAGCACCCTCGCTCTCCTCTGGGTCATCAAGAAGCGCCGTGAATCGCAATCCAAAGAGCGATACTCTGGTGACTTCGGGCATGTAGCACGTCAAATCAGCGACCCCATCTACGACCCCCAGCTTGCCGCACGTACAGATTTCATGCGGAGGGGAAGTCGGTCAGTGGCCTCTTCTCCAAACTCAGCCGACAGGATCGCGCAGGGCATGAAGGAATCCAACAACACTGTCGTTCATGGCTTCACCCCCAGGATCAAAAGCATGTGGGAGCGTACCCCGAAGCTGAACTTTGGCTTCGGTTTACCTGCAAACCCTGCACCTCCTGCTGTCCGGGCAGGAAACCCTTATAATGATCCTTACCAAACGCCCCCGCCAAAACCTAAACGTATTCATTCGGCGCGCCGCACGAGCTCGAGGCGTACCAGCGCTATACCACCTCATGTCCAACCCCAGTACCAGCAGGGTCGTCCAGGTGTAGGACGAGTAGACAGTTCTGAAACTATCGATGTGCTGATGCCAACGACGGGAAGTGGATACCCCATGAACCACAACAATGACTCGGGCTTCTTGCAACCCCCACAAGCTCCTGGCATGAGAGGCGCAAACCGCTTCACAGCGGATTCTGGCCATACAACTTTTACCAAGTTGATGGAGCGGGCGGGGTTTGACGAGGAACCAATGCAGGCAGTCAGAGACTGGAAGACCCCCAGAGTCTAGTATTGGTTCCTTCACTCACTCTCTTTCTCTCATTCTTTCTTTTCCGAAAAATCCCTTCTTTTCACGTACATAACCCTTTTTTTTCTCCCAACACTCTTTACTCATTTTCAGCGCCGGCGTTCTTCTAAAAGGACTTTCCTTTCACACATACCCACACAGAGGGCATCGCTGTTCTTTGCATATTTTCGGCGTTTAGCATCATTGAGCATATGAAGCTTTTGTACTTTTGTTTGTCATTATTACTGCATTATTTTTCTCTCCTTTGTTCTATGATACCACTATGAATCTGGCAGGTCCCTTTTATTACGACTCTGAGTTTCGCTAGAAATTGATGACGAGGTTTTATTGAGTAGCGAATATCAACATCTACACTCACTTCTTTGTTCTTGCCCGTGCTTTGATGTGTGTACAGTGTCTGTTGTCTTGAACTTGTTTCACTATGCAAGATCGTGATTCGATATCATAACCACATCTAGATTTTTTTTCAAATGTCGTGTACATAGCAAGTCATATCAGTGCCTTCCTGCTATATTCTCGTTGGAGAAGACAAAGAGAAGAGAGCCTCTTGGCCCTCTCACTCAAATCCAGCACTCGGATTCCTTCTTCCTAAACATCCACCATGACCTCATCCGCATCCGCAATCCTCGCCTCCCCAGCCCCCGCCCTCAGCTCCCTCTCCACTACCCTCTCCACCTCTGTCCTCACCACGTCCTCACCACCACTCCGCCTCTTCTTCCCAAACAAACAATACCAAAGATCATGCTCAGGCACCACCTCGCCATCCCCCTTTTTCCTCAGTAAATTGCTCAAAGATGAATTTTCCAACTCCGCCGAATTCGCCTTATCAAGCGCCTGTTCCCCCAGACCCTGCGTGCCATCCTCCCGTGCTTTCGCCTTACCGTCACCCCGGTCAGAAGAAGACATATGCTCCAACCTCCTCTTAACACTAATCTCGTAAATCGCCTCTTCCACCGTGCCAGCCACAAGATACATAAACACGGTTGTGCCCCTCATTTGACCAATGCGATGCACCCGACTAATCGCCTGCAACTCAATCGCCGCATTAATCAGGGGCTCACATAGAAAGACATATGTGGCATTCACCAGCGTCAGGCCTGAAGAATCCGACTTCGCATCCAGCAGCAAGCAGTCGACGCTCGGATCAGACTTGAAGCGCTGAATGCCATCGCGGTCAGCGGTGCTTGTAGCATTGATTTTCCATTTCCTGAATGCGTCGCGGAGGACCACGAAGAAGTCGCTGAATTGAGAAAAGAGGATGGATTTTGCGCCGGGATCGTTGGCGCGGAGCCAGAGGAGGTGGCGGGCGAGCATGTCGATTTTTGTGCCGTAGGAGCCGGTGAGGGAGATGGTGCGGATTTCGCGCATCGTGGTGTTGCTGATGGAGGAGTAGATGGAGGGGGAGGAGGGACCAGAGGGTAAATTGGAGGAAGATGAGGACGAGGAAGATGAAGAAGAGGTTGCTTGTGTTGGGGGGTTGAAACTTGTGGATGTAGTCTCTTCTTGCGCTCTGATTTCAGAAGGCTTGAAGCTAATGTCTTTGAAGTCGGAGGAGCTAAGTTTTTGCTTGCAGGTGGGACAGCTGCGGTGGGTGCGCCACCATTGGTTTATGCATTCTTTGCAGTATTTGTGGCCGCAGGTTGTCAAAAGGCCGATTTCAATGTCTTCTCGGCAGATGATGCATTCGGCAGTGACTTCTTTCTGGTTCTCACTTCGGAGGTGCTTCAGGTAAGTGCACTTTGTTTTGAAACCAGCTGCACTGTCCTTCTTCTGTGCTCGCAGGGCCTCCGTCTCGTTGAAAGCGCGGGCATCAAAAGTCGCATCGAGGTCTTCTTTATACTTGGCAACCGTGTCAGAAATGTGTTGGAATTGCCGGTAGTACTCCAGGCGCTGGTTCATCGTGGTTCGAAACATTTCTTGCTCTTTTTCCAACTCGGTGATAGCCTTTGCTTGGTCCATAGCGATAGCTTGTACCTTCTTGAATTGCTCCTGAAGTATGTTCAGTTCCGAAGCGGCGCGTACGTCGCCAGCTTCTGCCTTCCATTGCACACTGTTAATCAGCGAGCGGATGCCAGATATCACTCCCTTCAAAGATCCAGCTTGCAGCATGCTTTTCAGCTTACGCCGCACATTCGCAATCTCAACGACCAGCTCAGGCGCATGTCCACGATCTGCTCCAGGCTCTTTATTAAGGGCTTGCTTTTCAGCAGCCTTCATCTCGTGTTCGATGAGAGCATCCTGAAGGCCGTGCACAGCAGCATGACGGTCGGCGACCAGTGTGCGCAGAGCCATGATGTAAACATAGAGTTCATCTTGGACCTTCAATGACTCATCATACTCCTCGCCAGTGGTCTCTTGATCATCATCATCGTCCATCAAACGTGTCAAGAGGATGTCTACAATCTTCGAGCGCCATATTTGTATCTGCTCCGTTTGTGCATTTAAAAAGTCGCTGATGTTGTCTATCGTGTCAAGGATCCTCCGTGCTTCAATGCCACCCAGATCTGGAAGGTCGCTGATCTTGGCTATCTGATGAAAAGGCTTCTTCGCGTTGATCTTTTCCATCTGCTCCTTCGCCTTGGTCTTTGATTCTTTCAAAAGCTCACGTCGGATTACTTTAGCTGCTTCATAGTAAGCCGTTTCAGATCTATCTTTTTCGTGCCAGTCTTCTGAGCCCGGCTCTGTTTGTAACGGGTCTTCTTTGATTTGGTGGAATGCTGTAGCAGCAAAGAATTGTGCAGCGTGCTCAAGCTCCAAGAATGACCGCAGTGACCTGCGTAGGACGGGAATGCGGCCCATCTTCTCAGCGTTTTCCTCCTCATCCTCGTCAACATCGCGAAGACTGGCTGTAGATGTTCGACCCAGCTTTTCTTGCTCCGCCGCCAACTCGGTTCTGCACAATGTAATGTATGACTGCGCCTCCAACCGTGCGGCACTATAGTATGGAAGCGCAGATTTTGCTCTGTTGGCGAAATCTCCAGCATACGCTTGAATGTGACCTTGTTTGAGCAGGCAAAGAATCATCTCACGGGCTTCTGCTTTCCATTTGTTGTCGTTCTGTTCTATCATGATCTCGAGAACTTCATGCACAGTGCGTAAAGCACCATGCCTTGTGCCCAATGCTTTCCGGTTCTTGCGTCCCACGTTCGCATGGAGACATGTCTGGCGTAACCTGACCAGCCACTCTCGCATTCGTTCAATCTGTTCCGCATCCTGTAGTTGACGGCCTTCTTCCAATGGCAAACCCTCGGATGTGAGCCAACAAGCATCACACATTTGGCGCATCATCTCATCGTAGTGCTGTTCCTCGATAGTAGTAAACGGAATAGTAATGACAATGCGCTTTTGCGGCGGCAGCTGTAGCTCATCTCGAACCTTGTCTTTAGTATTCCGCACTGTAATCTCATTGAAAATATCCTTGAAGAGAGTCTTGTCGAAATTGCCCCAAACGGCTTTGCTGTCTGCATAAGCATCGCAGCGAAGGAATACCAGAAGACCACGCAAATCCTGAACATCCTTGCGCAGAGGAGTCCCTGAGACGGCCCAAGCGTTGCAACGTGGTATCATTCGAGCTACTCTGGCGGCCTGACTAACTCCCGTCTCCACCATTTGAGCTTCATCAAGGCAAACCCTCCACCAAGACATCGCCATGAGCGGGCTGCTTCGGCGCTCACGACGGTTAGTGTGCCGTGAACTACGATCCGGAGGAGGAACTGCGAAATGAATTTCTCGAGAGAGAACCTGGTATGTGGTCACAACTACATCGTGTTGCATAAGATGGTCAACCGTGGCTGTTGCATGGCGATCTTTGGGTGCTGATGACGGCGGGAGTCCTGTGTAGTGACAGACCTTGAGCTCGGGTGCGTGGACATGCATTTCGCTTATCCACTGCTCCAGAATGGAGGAAGGGGCGATGATCAATGTAGCTCCAGAAGGTTTCACATGGGCCCTTGTATATGCGTCATAGACGTTGCCTTGAGGGATTTCTCGCTTGTGGTGCGACATGAGCGCAATCAGTTCGACTGTCTTGCCCAGACCCATCTCCTCCGCGAGTATCCCGCCTCTTAGTGACCTCAGGATATCTGCTGTAGCCTCAGCTAGATCAGTTATTATAGTGCCCCGGAGCTGGCTCACATAACACAATCGCCCTGTCGCATCCTGTTTTAGCCTGAACGATGTTGGTGGTGAAGTATTGACGAAAGGTTCGAGCGCACCCGAAGGAGAGAAAGTGACTCCTTCTCGTCGGAGAAGCCAATCCACTGTCCGTTGCTGGAATGGCAGCAGCTTCGTCTCGGTCAATGCCTGCCCAATGCGGGGTGAAATCTTGAGATCCCGCGGTGGTGCATGAACCGAGTTGTAGAAATCAGACAGAGTCCATGTATTGTTGTCCTGTGGAACGGCATCACTCATGTAGGTAGAGAGTAGCTTAAGATCCTCGTTGGCGTAATGACTGCGAATAGTCTCATCTTCAACAACTGATATGCCCAGCATCCAGCGTATCTCAACTTCCAACTTGTATGCGACTCGTTCAGATGTGGATCGACGCAGGAGACAGCGACAAAAGGCGGCCCTAGGTCCAGACTTGGATATATTCCCGTGTCGCGTGGTAGCGAGCGTGGCGGCGTTCCGAAGATGCGGTTGTATCGAATCTAGCAGAGAGGCGGGGGCTGTGACAACCATTTCCACTCCCGTGTTCCCGACCACGTTGAAGACCTCCATCTGGAGAGCCGACTGGGTGGGATCTTTTCGAACCTTTTCCAATGCAAGTGCTACGGGTTCTTGCAACTCAGTCGAAACGTATGTCATGTCTTCGTCCTCGCGCGATGTGGCGGGCATGTTCTGCAATTCACGTAAGTTTAGTACCATGGAAACGAAGTGTATGTACCCACCAAATCCAGAGAGATCTTGACCAGAACAACGCTCTTCTTGTCGCTGAAATCTTGCGGCGGTTTTTCGGGGGCAGCATCGTCATGGCCAAGTTTGCGCCGCTTCGCGGGTGGCTCCTCATCTCTGCGCGACTCGGATATGGGAAACAACGAGTGTATTGTACGGATACAACTTAAGGCATCTGGGGCGGGAGATGACAATTTTTCTCCCTTCTTCCGAGCGTTGACAAGCACATAGGGACTTGCGCTCAAAACACGCGCGCTTCCCTGGAACGAAGACATCAGAGGTAGAGATAGAGGTGGACGGGGTGAGGGGCGGCGTAACACGGACAAGGTGAACGCGGAGGTGATCGCATGTCCGCAGATCCTCGACGCGCTAATATAAGTGATAGGAGACCAGGATCCCGCCCCACTCACGCTTCAGATACATGGTGCTTTGCTCCACATATCTATTGTCTTACCTTTGCATTCCTTGCACTTTTGAGTAATAAATGAGAACTGATATCTGTTTGCGGGGCAGCTGCAAGAAGGATCAAAGCTTGCAACAGGGGGATCACGGATATTGCGTCATCATACTAGAGATATACAAATGTACGTTCGATGGGGATTATATGTATTTGCACTAAAAAGCCATACGGCTCAAGAAATTCAAGCAACATCCTTGCATAGTAACAGACACTTGAATGAGTCAGGACGTAGTTACAATGTAGCAGAACTTCCTTTCTTGCGCAGCTGGCAATTATCCTGCTTGCGGCTGGCGGTTCCAACCATGCCAACGCGTAACCTCAAAACAGGCGTAAATTCTATGTTGCCGGCGAGTAACCAGTGGCTAAGGTGTTTGAACGGATCGTGATGAAGATATCCGCCAGCACCTTCCACACGTCTGGCACGCATGCCCTGACACCACAAGCTGATCTACCAACCAGGGTTTGTGTCAGCCCTCCTTTGAGAGGCTCAAGGCAGTAGTGCTCCGCAATGTGACGGATTCAATGGTGGTCCGTATTGCGAGGCTTGTTCTAGGGATCGGAGTCGGTGCGTCGGCCATCCATGTTGATGTATGGTCCTTGAGAGCATTCCATATAGATGGGCGAAGACACATGAAGAACCTGTTGGCTTGTGTCATGTTTCCAGAAACCCAGCGGTATTTGTCTACTCTATCGACAGCACTTTCTTGATCGGTTCTGCAGCCTCGATAAACTTTTCAACCATCGTATCAAGCTTGGTCAGATCATCCTTGCCCTTTTTAACCTCGGCAATAAGCTTCTGTTTCTGCTTGAGCTTCTCCTGCCGGCGCTCTTCCAGCTTGAGGCGGACTTGGTGTTCGTGCTCGATACGCGCCGTCATGAGGTCGTGTTCGGTGGATTCCTTGTGTTCGGGGAATTCTTCAAGGAATTGTTCGAGGGGAATGAGGGGTAATTTCATGTACTTGTGGCTGCGCGGCCGTCAGTAATGCAATCAACCCAACGTGTCATAAGGGAATGTACTCATAGTTTTCAGCAGCAGAGATCTCTGAGCGCAACGACTGCTCCTCATACTTCAAGTTATGCAGACCCAGAATGAGCGCATCGTTGACAGCCCTGTCGTCTGATGTTTTGGCTTTCTCTTCGCGCACCTTGAGTACACTCTGCCTATAAAGGGTCTTGATGATTGACAGTTGCGCGCGGATGTACTTTTCCCTCTTTTCGATCTCGCGCATCGCCTTTTTCTCATTGTCGAGGTCCTCGCGCGATTCCGCCTTTGTATTTTTGGGATGAGCGAGCTGGAAGTCTACTAGTTCGTTGATGAGTTTCTTGAGATTCTGCACTTCCTGGTAGAGACGCGCATTATGCGGCGTCTTTACAAGATCGGCCATGTTGAAGGTGGACAGATCCGCCGGCATGGCCTCACCGGGTTCTGGGAGCGAGACTTGTTGGTCGGTCATGGCGGATTCCCTAGTCGGTGGTCGCCGCGTCGACTCGTGGCCTGTTATTGGACTTGGGAGGCACAGTGAGCTTGCACTTGCAATGCGCGCCTGCCAAAGGACCGTGCGCGCCTGTTCAAGCAACACGTGACCAGGCGTCACTACCGTGTGTCCCCTGCGCAGTGGCGACCTTTCCACGTTTCCTTCGTGTTCGTAATCCATCTGGATCTCCCCTGACGCCATCCATCAACGCTTGTTGTGCTTTTCAAGCCTCTAACACGCCACCACTAGCCCCCTTATAGCACTGCAAACGAATGGAACGAACTAGACTGCTCCAGGCAAATATTTACATTGCCCCTCAGGCCATACTGGCTGCGGCAATGCTGATAACACGGCTTGACCCATTCAACTTCGAACTCAAACGCCATATCTGCTTTCGCTTATCGATCAAGGGATCTGTCGTGTTCGCATTGCGCCCATGATGCGCCAATCTGGAACGCTGGGAGCACTGATCATGTGTTCTGTTGGTGCAAGGGCAAAGGCGCACATCCAATTTACTGCCCGAAAGCACTTTTTGCTTCTCGCTCAACCAGATGTTTATTCAGAGGGCTAAGACCTTCTAATAGATATTAATTGCAGCTACTTGGACGTTGGTACGATTACTTGCCTAGCCTTCCGGCCCATGGCTATGGTACCAACACAAGCCTTGGGCCATAACGCAATGGCGCATGTGGATTAAAACGCGGGAACAGTCCAGCACACCGGTTTGACATTCCGGTATTATCACGGACAGACTTATGCTTACCCGAGTGAGATTCCCTATGCCAATGTGAATACAATAACTCCGCCTTGAGCCCCGGCTCCCCTACAATTCTTCGACGTTCATTTCCAGCCTCGTGTTGCTGCACTGTTTTTGGCTCCTTGCATACACACCACCTTGTCCAAGATAGCGCCGGTTTGATCGGCGTAAATACAAGCTTGCCATGTGGACTCGCCTCCTAAATCTTGATTACTATTTCCTTCAGGGGAAAGGACCTCGCACCCGCTACGGGCAAACGAAAAATCACAGGCACAGCGCAGGCTTGAACAGCGATAAACGGCCGAGTGCTCAAGAACAGCTTAGGCTCCTCTTTCTTCCCGAAGGTCATCCCTGGCCGTCCAGTAGCGTGGCCAAGGCCAGTGCTGAGTGGCGCTCTAGCGTGTGCTTTGGGCAATTGAAACATCCAAGCCTTGGAGGATATCGTGGAGGATTTGCAGGCCTGGAGGATCCAATTTAACTACGTTTTTAGGAAAGACCCTGTCACATCACGACCGCAACGTCCATTTTTGAGGCACTGTCAACTATTACCCAAGTACAGTGGTACCGACGAACTCGGAAATCCTAATCAGCCCTCGGCAAAAGATAGCTGTACGCCTGGCTATCTAACGATGGGCTGCTTGCTTCAGTTTCAAGTTTTGCTCCGCATTGCCGAAACCTTGCCACAGCCTAGCGTCAATTATTTTGCGTGTCGGCCAAAGTGTATCGTGACGATGCAAACCCTTAGGCACAAGCTGGCTAGACCATCAGTCTTTTTGACAGCGCTGATGCTAAAGCCCACTTCATAGTAGTAGTCTTGATACTTATTTGAAAGTACCGGACAAATGCTGTGGGCGCGGCAATCAAGTCGCCCCCCAGCTGCTCTCGGCGGCTACAATGACAGATCTTGATCAGTGTGCCGCGCAACCACACCTGACTCGACAGCAAGGGATGGTGAAGCAAATGCCATAGCCGTACTGGGCACCCCTACCCGACCATTACGTCGCCGTACTCGGCAAATCACGTATGCGTAGGATTCTTTTATCCGATTGCCAGCCAAGCATCATAAAACGGTGCATATTGTGCTGCAGCCTCGGTTTCCTCCGGCTCCGCACTGCGTTGGACTAGGGACTGTACGAACGCATGAACGACACCAGCCACCATGACAATCGCATTACTGGGTTGTGGCGTACGTTGAAATTGCTTTTTCCAGCCCAACGCCGGCGCCCCATCCTTAGGAGATTGGGGGTATGCATACGTACACAGCGGCTGGCTGATTGATATCATTACCTCGGACCTGTGTCGATGACGTCGAAGAATTGTACAAACCGTGACGATTTGAACAACGAGTAATGCTGAAATGGCCTTGCAGACACCAATCCCCAATTTGCGTTATCACCTTCTAGTTCAGCACACACATGCAAGTGGTAGCACAAGACGCATGCTAAGCGCAGATCAAGCTCGCGACAGAGATCAGCCCAAAGATGCCCGCCTGGCGTTAGTGCCCAGCGCCAATACCGAGAAGAACATTGTCCCGACTTGTGATATATCAGCACCAGCTAGAACAGCCCTAGAACGGAGTCGACCGGTACTCTAGGATTGGATACAAGCGCGGTGCTTGGTAGGATGGGGCAGGGTTCGCAAAAACAGAAAATTGTCTCTTCGACCCATCGGACCAGTCCCTAGTTTCCCCTCACGGGCGTGCACTTTCACGTGGCATGGCACCTGTCATACCCAGGGCATCCCTGAACGGGTTGGAAACTCGCCCAGCAGATAGTGGGCTTGGGGCCGGAGCAGGCGAGGGTTAAACCTTATTTCAGGCCTCTCGAACGTCCACTACAAGTTTCGGAGCTAAAGCAATACGCGCGATTCGTTAGTATGCGGGTGTTTGACTCGGCGCCCATACAGGCTAGGCAAGCGAATGGGCTGGCTTACCGTGGTACCTGTTGTTGCTTGGAGATGGGCTCGAGTCTGGGCCGCCCAGTGGTGGACTGTAAAGATGCCTTATTGACCCGCCTGTTGACTTGCGTTCTTCTTTTCCCCAGTTCTCGTTCGTTTTTTCCATCTTCATTATGGCTCCAGCAAAAGAAACATCGCTTGACCTGTGCAAGCGTGTCAATGTACAGGGCAACACCATTGCAATTCGTATGCTCGAATACCTGAGCACTGCAAAGGTCCCTCTACAAGGCTTCGAGCAACTGTCAAGAGAGTTCGTCGAACTGTGTCAGGTACGATTCTACCACTGATCTCCCTTTCAATGAAGCTCACAGTGATGATTAGGTATTATGGTCTATCGAGTCGGGTGTTGCAGAAACCCACAAGACACGCAATGGACTCCCTGTCGAAATTACCCAGGAGTTGGACAGACGTCTCCGTCAGGTTAGCGAGGAGTTTGCCGTTCTCGCTCAAATGGTCAACAAATGTAAGTTTCAGTGACAAGCTACATGTTGCCTGCCTGGGTTTCTGGCCCAGATACTTGTGAATGTGATGGTGCTAACAAGCATGTTACAGTCGTTGATAAGGAAAACCACAAAGGCGGGTTTGGCATGAAATTTCGAATGATGTTCGCCGATACCGACGTTGAGA